AAAAAAAAAAAAAAGAGTTCGTCTGGAAATGTGGCGTCCACTCACCCTCTGCACTTTCACTGGGAGCTGAAGTCCTGAGCTGTTCTTAGGTGGCCATCTTCCTATTCCTAAGAGAATCTTTTGTTCTAATGTTTGGTCTCTGCCCTGGTTTCTGAGACAAAGCTCCTAGTACCTTTGTAGATAAAGGTGATAGGTGAATCTTTTGTTCTAATATTTGGTCTTTGATATAGGGTCTTGGCAGAGGTCCTAAATCCTTTTGAATTCTCTGGGTGATAGAAGTGTCTTTTGTTGCAATGAGATGACTCGGTGGGTTTTATGATGGGGCTGGTCATCATAAAGACTAAACCATGATCATATGCTTGGAGCTCTCAGCCCCACCCCCTGTTCCTCATAGAGAAGAGAAGGGCTGCAAATGACTCAGTCATGACTTCTGTGATAAGGCCTCCATAAAAATCTTTGAACTATGGGGTTTAGGAGCTTCTGAGTTGGTGAACACATCTGAGTGCTGGGAGGATGGTGCACCTCTTTTCCTTCCTGAGTTATTCAAAGTCTGGTGCCTTCAATTTTGGCTGGATGTCAGTGCAGGCTTTCTTCTGCCCAGGCATTGCTAACACTGATGAAAGCTGGGGAATCTATTCTCTTGGGTTGGGAAATTTTCTTCATTTTCTCCAACAGTAAAGATTAAAGGTAGATTTTTTCTTAAATTACTTAAGGGCAGACACACCAGTTCCAAGTGTATTACATTTTTCTCTAAAGCACACATAGTTTAGTCTCATTAAGGAATATAAATTTATCCCATCAATTAGACTTTGACCTGACTTGAAAAATAATAACATTCATATTATGATGCTGAAAAGCATTTGGCTACTTCCTAAGTCTTCTTTCAAGACAAAAATCACTACATTAGCTGAGAATGCATTATATGGGAAATTACCTTGATGCAGTGGAAGCACTAAGTGGTGAGCTGACCCAGAAGTCAAGGAACAGAAAGGCTTTCAGACCAAATTAAAATGACCAAACCACATAGTTTCTTTAATTGATTAAAATACTGGGCAAGAAACAAAGAGAATGAAATGGGATAAGGTAATTCACTTAGATAAGTGTAAACTGGATGAAGGGACTACACTCTCTGAGTCCTAGAGTTCACAACGTTCACAAATCCTGCTTCTCTTTTGATACACCAGCCTTCACGGGTGATGGTTCAATGATAAAGAACCATCCAGAGTTAATGTCTGAACAAAGAAGGGCCACAGGGGAAGATATCTTGAGCCAAGGACACAAACCTTCTCTTTCAGAGAGATACAGGAGTAGTGTGCTTGATTAGAGAGCAGCCATCAATTCACTTGTTGAACAACCTTTGGTTTTATTTGCACTTTTTGGGCAGGACCAGAATAGAATCATACTGGGAACCTTATTTGCATTTCTTGGTTAGGACTAGAATAGAACCACGTTGTATGTAAATAAATGGTGGCTAATTGAGGTTTAATAAAGTTCTCAGTCAAGAATTGGCATCCTTGAGATGTGTGTCTTTTTATCCTTTGCATCTAAGTAGCACATTTTTGTTCCATTATAATTTATATTTATTCTATCTCTGGTTGTCTTACAGGTTACTAACTTACTGTTTTACCAAATTATCTGAATTCTACCTATGTCTCACAAGTTACTTCTTTTTCATTTTATGTAATAAACCTATTCTATGGGTTTTGCCAATATCTCATATGCTTACTTTCTAGCATATAATTGTCTGTGTTTAGCACTTCTTAAGAATTCCATCCATCCTAATTTTTTTAACTTCTAGAGCTGAACTGAACTTTCTCAACAGTACAGCAAAATCCCATAACAGAATGCCATTATCCAATCCATCTAATTTGATTATTATTATAATCACAAAATTTATTCATTCTATTCCCCACTTTTTTCCATACAAAAAAAAGAGAGAGTTTGCATTTATTAAAGAAATTAAGAGACATTTGTCAAAGTCCAAGTGAAAGATGATTTTTGCCTTGTCCTAGGCCTACCACATAAGATGTAAAAAATGGATGAAATTGAGAGAAAAGTAACAGAACTAGGTGACCTATTTTATGTGGGATATGCAGGAGAAAAAGATACCAAGGATAACTCCAAGTTTTTTGGTTCTGTGTAAGTATCACTCACTAAGAAGTGTAGGAAGAATAAAAGAAGAGTTAGCTGAATAGTAGAAGGACATCATAAGTATAAATTAGTTTTGAAATTATGTCCCAAGAATATACCCAGTTGGCAATTTGTTAAATATTAATGTGAAACTTGGAAGACAATCTATTGAGTATATGCCAAGTTGGGAAGGTATCGACATATAGATGACAATAAATACAATGAAATTACATGATTTCAACTAAGAAAAGAATGTAGAAGTGATAAGAGAAGTCAGTGGATCAACATATATGACCATTTATGCATGCATATTTATAGTGGACTATATTCAGGCCAATTTTTTAGTTTTTTATTGTGTCAACTTAACTACGCTGAAACTAGGTTTCTCCAAATTCCTTTCCTATATAGTTCCAGGTTAGCTTAGGTCACAGGAGCTACTTTTTCATGATGTTTGGAAGATGAGAGTAAAGCAGCAACCATATTTTATTAGACATGGAAGGTTGGTGAAGAACATGAGCCACATTGCAACTTAGGTCTGTTGCCACTCATGTGGTTGGCTGGTGAAACAGCCAGGCCCACAGTTCCTTCGGTTCCAGTCAGTTTTCTCCGTCAGCTTCTTCAGTTCTTCAATCAGATGATGTTCTGATTCAATCAGTTCTTCTTCAGTTCTTCAATCTAAGTTATACCTTAGATCCAGGTATAACTTTAACATTAGCTCCTCTGTAGGACACACCCATCTCCAAAACTGGAAGTGTAGCAACAGTTTTAGAGACTGGAATGAGTTTAATCCAGTCTTTTGGTTTTTAGCTGATTCATACAGGTTTTAGCTTGTCTTCCTTCCTTCCCATCAAGTCTGTTTTCACTCACCTCTTGCTTACCCTGTGAACTGCAGGCTCCAGTCATAGACAAAGAAGCACCAGCCTCACACAGACCATTGAAACAGCTTCCAGAGAATTCTGCTTCTCTGATCAAATTCTGAATGATACAGGTAGAAACAGTCTCATTCCATTTCTATGGTAATGCTACTGTAACACTAAGAAGAGCCGAGTGATTTTTGATGAGCTACATAAGACACAGTTGTGTACTGTAGCAGTTATTAAACAATTATTTATCAACTTTAATTTCACCCATCCGTACTTTGTCTCTATGATTTCAGGTTTCGAATTCCGTAAACCCTACTTTTCCTTGGTTGGCTAGCTTATTAGATTTTGCCAATAAGGGCTAAAATAAGTGCAGTGGCACATCATATGAGTATGGTGATGAGAAGTGATATTATTTTAGGCAGTGACAGTAATGGCAGCAAATTCTAAAGTGAGAATGTGCCTAGCAAGTAAGAGGAAAACTTGGTGGGTTTTCAAACTGGAGAGGTATAGCCCAGGAGACAGTTCCTTTAGGTCCAAAGCAAACCTGTATAGAACCTGTGGGCAACGGCAGACACCAGCTAACATGTAACTTGTGTAAAATGACCAATATGCATATGGAAGGATGCTTAACGAATTTATGAAGAAAACACTTAAGGTGATTTTGTTTTTGGCTTTACAGATCAACATGATGAATTATATATCACATTGGTCAAACTATAGAAACATGGGCTCTGTCACTTTCTGCTCACAGAGGTACCCATTTGGACAATTTTGTTAACAATCTTTTACATAGAAGAGTTAAAACTTAATGCTTTTGACTCTTATTTCTGTTCTGAGAGGATATTATGCAAAGAAAAATATAAACATTTGCTCAAAAATTAAAAATATTCATGACAATGAATTTGAAAAACATAGTTTTTGATAATCAAGACTACACATTAGGTTATGATGTACAATGCTTGGGTAAATGGGTGTACAAAACCTCATAAATCACCATTAAAGAACTTATTCATGTAACCAAGCACCACCTGTTCCCCAAAAACCTATTGAAATAAACAAAAATAAAATAAAATAAATGAATATTGAAATCAACATCTAAAAGGAGAAAGTTACCATAGTATGTACTATATATGCCTGATCAACATTATACAATTAAAAGTTATATTTAGGACATTTTTATTACTAGTAATAATGTTATAAAAATATAATAAAAAGGAAACAAAATTGGGTATACAAAATAAATAGTCATATTATTTTCATGTACTGTTTCTTAGATACAACTTATTACATCCCAAGACTATCAGTATCATCTCTAACTTACAATATTGCACTAGCATTTAACCTTTCCTCATACATCTACTCTTGCTGTACTACAATTTATTCCCCACAAAACCTCCAGAGTGATCTTTAATAACAAAGATCTTATCTTTTAATTGCTTAAAGCCTAGTAGAATTTCCTATTACTTCTAGTATGAAGGACCATATAAGGCCTCAGATGTTTCAGTGCCTGCCTCATTTTCCAGCCTCCCCACTGGCATCTCTTCTGATGCTGTGTTCCAGCCTCCCAGACCTCTCTCCTAAGCTCCTTTTTATTTGTAAGTTCTCCATACACACTGCCTTTCCTGTCTAAAATGCTCCCCTCTTACCCTTGATTTGTTAACAACTTCACTTTTCAAATGTGAACGACATTTTTCTTTAAATAACTTGAGTATTTATGAATCATTTAAAAAAGTTTGACAATGATTATTATTTTTTCTTTTTTAGGCTTTTTAATATGTATTTTTTCTTCTATAAGCATGACTTATGAGAAAATGAGAAAATCAGCACAATTTTATAAACAAATTTATTAAGGCTTAATTTAGCAAAAACATGAGATTGATTTTAGTGTGGTATTTGCAAAAGGTGGACAGCTGAGCAGTTTGGTATAAAAATATTCTTAATCAAAAATTGACCTTTTCAAGTAGCAGATTCATAGACACCACAATGCCTTCATTTTCCTAGAGAAAGTAGAGAGAAAAGAACATGAGTAATCTGGCTATTAGAGGTGAGATGTAAATATAACTAATCTCTACTGTGAGAAACACCTTCACAAAAAGGCTATGGACCTGTCATCCCCAAATGGGAAGATCTCTACTAGATTCTCATTGCCTCAGCATAGATTTAACAGCTAGTCAGACATATGGTATAGGAAAGCCTCATCACAAGCAGAGGAGAATGTGATTCCAAAAGACTGACTTTTTGGTAAAGAGAGACAAACACTGGCTGTGCATCACATTTTCAATGGCTTTATTTTCTGCATGCATCAGAATCTAATATTCCCTACTCACTGAGTAGTTCTTTGAGAGAAATTATAAATGAAGGGTTTTCTAGCTGAACTCTATTGGACTGCCATTACTTATACAACCATAATACTATGGCTGATGTCGTATAAAACCAGGGTTTAATTGGGGTTGCTAAGAAAAGGGAAATGACATGAGCCTCTATAACTAGTGGGCAGCTCACAGGCCATCATTGTTCTCCATTCTATCCAGACTTTCTGAATAGACTGAGCAGGGCGCCCTCAAATCCACTTCTAGAATATATTTACCTGAGTTGCTTCTTATGAGTTTTAATTCCCAGGAAAGAGATAGAAATATCATGTCATGGACACTCTTTCAATGGTGGGCAACTGGGTCAGTACCTTTGGTCTCTCAAATGAATGTTGAACTTAAAGTAGTAAAGAAAGAGATTTTATAAAAGGAAAATGTGACTCAGGAGTGAGAAAATTCATGTTTTGTATTAAGGCTGTAGCTAGGTCATATAAACAGAAGATGTTTTTAGCTTTTCCTTAGATATAGCACATACGCAAATGAATTGTTACTCTAAAAAGAATTCCCTGGGTGAGCCAAGCTATCAGAATCAAGTTATTGTGAAAACCCACACTGGTTCTATGTACCATTTCGTAACACTCCCTCTTTGAATAAACTTGGAGTACAGGAAGGATCATCAAAATGACTTAAGAGCTTTAAGATTCCCTACAAAAATTCACAAGTGGTTTTGCAAAGCTTTCTGGGGCATAACATTGAAAATAAAAGAGGATCCCTACCTTTCTAAAATTTCCCTCTAGATAATAACTCCAAGAATACTCTTTGAATTAGTGGATAATTTTGGAAATGAAGATAGAGCCATTTGCTTCATGCCTTCAAGTAACATTATCTGCAATAAAAGTCATCAAAATATTGGAGAATGTGATCTTTTACACATGTGGAAGACTCCTGGAGTCATATCTTTGGTATTTTTATTAAATACTATCTACATGCTGATGAATCTCCAGGTTTTTCCCAGTCTAGATTTCCCTGTGAACTCATCCATTTGCCTATTCAATGTTCACCCTTGGAGGTAACACATGTTCCAAACTAAACATAAGAAACAGGACTCTTGATATTGTACACTCCTTCAAATCTGTGTTTCCTGCACATCTGTTTTCACCAACTCAGTAAATGGCACCATTTACCCCAATTGCCAAGCCAAAAACCTAGTCATGATTTATTATTTCCTTTCTTTCACATCCCATATTCAATCCAGTAGTTAATTTTCATTGATTCTGCTGCCAAAAATGTATCCCAAATTTAACAACGTTTCATCAACACTATTGCCATAAACCCAGTCTAAAAGCTATTGTCTTCTTAACTGAAATATTTAAATCATTTTCAATGGGTCTTTTTGATGCTCCACTTATCCTATCACTCCTCATTTAACAACTTCTACGGTAGTATAAATGCAGGCAAAATTCATCATTTATAATTTTTCTGCTGTAGACATTAGGTCATGTCCTTGCAGTTGCAATTTACTTGGCTCTATTAGCATGTCATGATTTCTACATTGGCAGGGAAATTAAAGGAAGAATTGAGAGTACAAAGGGAAGAAAGTAAATGCTAGGAAAAAGGAAAAGAAGAAAGAGAAGAGGAAATAACAGAGGAATAAGAAAAAGAATGTCATTGGGAAAGAAAATAAAACAGATGGTAAGAAAGGGGAAATAAAAGAGACAGGGAAAGAAAAGTGGGAGATTAACAGCTCTCTTTCACTTTGAAGATTATTATTTAAAAAACTTAGCTCGCACAAAAATATTCTTTAATACTTATACAAGTTTAAGCACTTGTTTTAGCAATGGACGTTAAATGTAATAGGTGGCTAGGAAGAGCAAAGGCTATGCAACCCTCCTGGAATTCATAAGGATCATCAACTACTAATAAACAGTTGTCCAAAAAAAAAAAAACAACAACTATCCCGTGTTTTCTATTGCAAATAAAATCCCCAGCCTGACTCTTTAATAGCTCTGCTACTTATGCTCCCCCTAATTTTCTACTCTCCAGTCAGATTGTCTGTAGCCTTCCTGAACAGCAAGAGCATTATTGTCTCGGGGTCTTTGCTCTTGTTTGCCCTTTCCAGAGAACATTTTTTTTTCAGAGTTTGGCACAACTCCATCCCCACATTCAAGCATGTACTGAAATGCCACCTCTGGGGAGAGGTCATGGCTAACCACCGTGGCTCACTGGCCTTCCTTTGCCCACCCCTGGCACACACACACACACCATCTTTCTATAATCTAATTCTCTTTTATGCATTCTCTGAAATCATACCATTTATTATTTACATGTTTATTATATACATACCTTCACTACATTGCAAAGTCCATGAGGGTAGGAGCTTTGTCTGTCTTGCTTACTGCCATACACAGTACTAGAACAGCATACAGTAGATTTTCAATTAATAGATACTAAATGGATAAAACCATGATAAAAGGTTATAGGTTTTTATTCCTTTTTAAGTTTGTTCAGAACTTTTGAAATTATGGTACTCGAAAGACGGTATTATCACTTCTGCTCATCTACCATTCTACACCACAATTCTTTAATGTAGCCTGATAATTGATCAGTTTCCTTGGTGACTACATAGCATGTGTTACTTGTATGCAGTTTTTATTACTTTGTATGTACTTTTCTTAACTGCTTCCTTATTCTGTTTTGTGCAGTTAGTAGTTTCTTATGTATCTGTAGTTTTGCACATTTTTTAAAGATGTTAAAAGCAAGATTAGCACTTACTTCCCTGCTCTTCAATTTTAAATTCCATTTAAAAATATGAGTCTCAGAAAGGTGTGGATATTTACATCAAAGCACATAGGTAGTGACAGTGATGGGCTCAGCATATACAGTGTTCTTGGCGTTTACTCCAGTTCTCTATGCATTACCCCATAAGTCTTTTTAAAATTCTGCCCTATCTCAAATAATGTCATTATATGTCCATGGATAGATAGTACCTGTTCATGTTGGTATTGATGCTCCTACCAATACAGCATTATGCTCAGGTTCTTCATTTTCACTTTCATTTCTGAGTTCTGAGGAGAACCAAAGAGCAGGCATGTAAGTGCTAATCTTGTTTTGAGATACTTTGTTACATGGAGAGGTGAGAGATAACCTACGTGGTCTTAACCTTAATGCAATGGTGTTTCCCCTATAACACAGGACTCCTTGTAAGGCTAGCAACCACTTTTCTGGTGTCAATTTACCTTTTTGGAGAAACAGGCATTGACTGGGCTGATGCAGCTCTTTCTTCGTCTCTACTTTCTTCATTTTCTTCTTCAGATTCTGCAATAGAATGAAGAAAAGGTTTAGGATCAGTACTCTATCTGAAAGCCATTTCCAAAGATTAAAATTGACTGTGAACACAGGTTTCCCAAGTCTTTACTGAGATACCGTCTCACAACAGTGGAGGTCAAAGAGTTTTCTATTGGAATATGGGGTTTGGAGGCAGTTACCTGTGGAAAAGGAAGATTATGCAGAGCCTTCTTCAGATTCATTGTTCTCACTCTCAGAATGATATACTGAAACAATATGAAAAACAGATTTGTTAGCAGAACTAAGTTTTGAGAACCTACACACTTCACACTCTTTCCTTTGCACTAATGAGTAGATGACTATGCTAGTATGGAGCTACTCTATGAAGCATGAAGATTTGGCCCATTTTCTAAGCATCAAGTTTGTTCTAGAGGAATATGACATTCTGCCAAGTGAAAAGGGAGGCAAAGTTTCTATAAAACAAAGAAGAATTTGTTATCTTTCTACTTCCAGAATTCAAGGAATAATCAAAATCTTTAATCAAAGTTTTCATGGAACAGCACTGTTCATTCTGAGGAAGAAAAGTACATCTATGTATAAAAAATAGTCTATCTACAACAAAAATAATTCCAGATGCATGTCCAAATGAGAATATACTCATTTATATATTAGTCTGGAGTAGGAATCAGCAACCCATAGTCTGTGGGTCAGATTCAGCCAAAACCCATTTTTATAAATAAAGTTGTACTGGGACACACATCAACACACCCATCATGTATTTATAGTCTGTTGCTACTTTTGAGCTACAATAGATGATTTGAGTCATGACAGAGGCCACATGGTCCAGAAAGAGTAAAATATTCATTATCTTTCAAAGAAAAAGTGTGCCAATCTGTGCTCCAGGGAGAAAGAAACATCTATACCCCACTAACCCATGAATTCCCTATTCCTTTCTTAAATAGAAATCTAGATTTCCAGACATTTCTTTCTGGGGAAAAGCCACAGCTAAGCAAAAGATAATGGATATTCCCCTATTATACATTCTGTATCTGAGAATAACTCTAAAGGCCACAGAGTAGCCCAGAATAGCCAAAGGCTGTCACCGAATTTAATGTCTCCAGCACCATTCATTTAACAATAGTTACTAAGCACCTATTATGTATCAGGTATCAGTTCTATATGTTTAGGATATATTCATGAACAAAGCAGAAAAAGATCCCTCACAAGGTGGAGCTTACATTTCAACAGAGGGAGACATAATAATATAATGAGTAAGTAAATTGTACGGAGTGATGAGAGTGAGTATTGTTATAAAAGTATGCAGCAGTGTAAAAGTAATTAGGGTGGATTAGTGCATTTTTTGGCATTAAATGAGACAAACAGGAGGCTAGGCCTGGTGACTCATGCCTGTAATCCCAGCACTTTGGGAGGCCAAGGCAGGAGGATCACCTGAGATCAGGAGTTCGAGACCCATCTGTCCAACATGGTGAAACCCCATCTCTACTAAAAAATAAATAAATAAAATAAAATGCTGGACACGGTGACTCATGCCTTTAATCTCAGCATTTTGGGAGGCCAAGGTGGGCAGATCATGAGGTCAAGAGATCGAGACCATCCTGGCCAACATGATAAAACCCCATCTCTACTAAAAATATAAAAAGCAGCTGGGTATGGTGGTGCATGCCTTTAGTCCCAGCGACTTGGGAAATTGAGACAGGAGAATCGCTTGAATCTGGTAGGAGGAGATTGCAGTGAGCCAAGATTGACCACTGCACTTCAGCCTGGGCAATAGAAGGACACTCCATCTCCAAAAAAACAAAAACAAAATTACCAAGTGTGGTGGAGGGTTCCTGTAAATTCAGGTACTCAGGAGGATGAGGCAGAATTGCTTGAACCAGGGAGGCGGTGGTTGAATAGAGCCGAGATCACACCATTGCACTCCAGCCTGGGTGACAAGAGCAAGCGAAACTCTGCCAAGAAAGAAGGAAAGAAGGAAAGAGAAAGAAAGAAAGGGAGGGAGGGAGGAAGGAAGGAAGGAAGGAAGGAAGGACCTAAGATGGGGATAGTTGATTCTCCATTTGGAGAGGAAAAAATAAAGAAGACAAAAAAGTAAGAAGAATAGTACAGAAAGAGTGAGTTACTAGCTCTTAGCCCCACAATACTCACCTAAACTCAATTGGTTTGGGGGGTTTAATAGGTGGTCCTAAATATTTTATCTGTCACTTTAGCTGTCTCAGTGTTATTATCAAGAAGGTTTCCAGCATTTTTCAGAATGAAGTTCACACCTACTACTAGAATCCATCACTCTTCTGCATCTAATGGACTATTTGCCATCAATTCATCAGAAATGCCACTTAGAAATTTCCCAGTCAGCATCTTCGTCATGTTGAATAAATTCTCTATGAATGGTTTCTTACCTGTGAGAATGATAGAATCTTACATATGGACAGAACTTTAGATACCCCATTCTAGGGTAGTGGTTCCCAAATTTTAATGTGCATAAGAATCACCCAGAAAGCTTAGTATGCAGAGCTTCCTGCACCCTACACCCCAAAATTTTATTTAATAGGTGAGAATGGGTCCATAAATTTTCATTTCTAACAATTTCTCAGGTCATGCTAAGGCCTCTGTTGCAAGGATCACAGGTATAAACGCTCCTATCTTGGTTCAACTCTCTCCATTTTCTTAGATAGTGAAATAGAATCAGAGAAGCCTAGTGAATTCACTAAGGAACTTAGTGACTACTGACTCAGTTTAGTCTTTGCATCTTCTATGATCTCTTATTTTCTTTCACTTTTATTAATAACTGGTTTGAAAGGACATTGCATTCAATACGTGCAGCAGTAAAACATAAATACATTCATCTATAAAATAACACCTTTTTTGTTTTCTTTATCAAGGCTGGCAGGGAAGCTCCATATGCTGTGACTTAGAGCACATATTGTAGCTGATCCATTTGCTGCTGTAATGGAAAGGTCACACAGAAAGCAGAAATATGGAGGAAATGCAACTTACCCTATTCAACCGCCTGGCTTTCCACCCTCCCCGTAACAGAACACTTATGAAATGAGTGAGAATTTTGGGTCAGTATGAGTTAAAAGAAGAGTCTAAAATCAAAGGAAAAGTTTAAGAACAGAGATCCAGATGTTTTTGCATTTTTCTTTCATTTGAGAAGTTGTAACATACTAACTAAGACACTTGGTCAGCATTTTTAGTGCTGTGCCCCAACCTCCCATATCTCCCTCCATACCCAGAGTAAAATAATTAGGTCTTGGGAGATCCCCCTCCAGTCTGCCTTCTTCTTTCCCTTGAACTATAACTTTCTCAAAGTATAGCCATAAAGAACAGAAAAACTGACGCCACTCACCAGCCATGACTGCTCCTGCTTCCTGGACAGGAAAATGCTTTGAAAACGAAAGCAATTTCAACATGCTTGCTTTCCTCTCTCAGTGGACCAGCTTGTTGATACTACCCTAAATGGAAAACTCCAGGTCCTCAAATTCTCCTTTTCTTTGCCAAGATACAATTAGACTCCTGATCAAATGTGCAACTGCTTTCCTTTGGAATATAGGAAACAGAGGGTGTTTTTTCTTTTTGGTATAACAAAGTGATCAGAATGAAAGCATGCACACTCTCACGAGAACAAGTTTCTGTGCTCTGTTTTTCCGTCTATTTTTAACTCTGTTAATAAATCACATTAAACCTCTGTTTGTCTCTCTGCCGCCATCAGCCTCGAAATGGTCAGGAATCTTTACTTCACTAATACTTACTCAACCTCGGAAGTGTGAATTTGGAAGATAAGGGAAAGAGGCTGACTGAGGATTGCTAAGTTGTGATACTCCCTTCACTATTTGATAAACCCACACAAGTGATCTCTTTTCTTCTGTCTTTCCTGCTCCAATCCTTTTTAAATTGGGATGTTGTTTATCCATGAGATGAAAGTATTTTTGTTCATTAAATGAACAAAATACTCTTTATTTTTGAGATATATATGTGCAATTAAAATCAAACAATAGAAAAATTTATAAAATGGGAAAAGATCATCTAAGTTCTTTAATTTCACATGACAAGGTAACTACAATTACATGTTTAGCTTGCATCTTTGTGTAATTTTTTCTATAATTTTATAAAATGTTTAATGCAAAAATGATATTATCTATGGCTGTAATCCAGGCGTCCCCAAACTTTTTACACAGGGGGCCAGTTCACTGTCCCTCAGACCATTGGAGGGCTGCCACATACTGTGCTCCTCTCACTGACCACCGATGAAAGAGGTGCCCCTTCCTGAAGTGCAGAGGGGGGCCAGATAAATGGCCTCAGGGGGCCGCATGCGGCCCACGGGCTGTAGTTTGGGGAAGCCTGCTCTAATCATTGGCCGCCTAGCATTTTTGGCCTTTATGTTAGTTCTGAACTGGCAATATGAATTGGTTTTGGCCAGCGTGATGCAGTAGAGGGATCTGATGCAGTTTCCAGCCTGAGTTTTACAAATCCTTGTGCCCTTCTCCCTCTTGAACACCTGAAGCTAAATGAGGATGAGCCTGAGCTGGATTGCTAGCCGATTAAAGTCATCACTTGGAGAAGAGCCCAGTCATCCCAGTCAAGGCCATACTAGACCAGTTTCCAGCCAAGTGTTTTCCCAACATATGAGATATCTCAGCCTTGTCAGCAGAGAGGCCTACCCTACACACAGATGATGTCAGACACAATACCAGCAGCGATGAAAAGAAACATTCAGCCAACTGGCTACCTCATGAACAATATAAATGCTTCTTGTGTAAAGCCACTGAGTTTTTGGGTGTTTTGATACTGAACAATAGATAACTAACAGACCTGTAATTACCCACAGAATTTTTTTTCCTATAGTGATATTATCTTACTGTTATATTACTGATAATTTGCTTTATTTAACTTCACAATGTCTGACAAACATTTTTAAAAAATCAACACATGAAACATTATCTGATTTTTTGATGGCTGTATAGTATTAATGTGTTGATAGATTATATTTTTAAAATGTTTTGAGTGAGTGCAGTGGCCAACATGGTGAAACCCAGTCTCTACTAAAAATAAAATAATAGCCAGGTGTGGTGGCATGTGACTGTAGTCCCAGCTACTCAGGAGGCTGAGGCAGGAGAATTGCTTGAACCCAGGAGACGGAGTTTGCAGTGAGCCAAGATCAGGCCACTACACTCCAGCCTGGGCAACAGAGTAAGAATCCATCCCGCCCGCCCAAAAAAAAAAAAAAGTTTTGTCAAAGTAGTAACATTCACAAGGTAGCTTATCCAGTAGTACAGAAAAGGCAACAATAAAAATCAGATTTTTATGATTTTTTACTTTGCTCCCATAAACTACGTGTAATTTCCCTAAGTTATTTGCTTTTTTTTTTGGTGGCAATCTTTGCAACTCCTAATAATGTCTGTTTTATCTATTTCATGATGTATAGATTACAAACAATGCTATTAGCTGTCTCACATGAAAAATGAAATGCAGCTCATTCACACTGCCAAATCTCTCTCTCCTATTCTACCTAATATTTGATGATAGTGTGATTTCCTATTATTTCCTTGATTCATTTTGAAATAATAAATAATAAACTTTACTCTCATTTCTTCTTTCATCAGTTTTGCATAATACCTTAATTCTCCTCTGTGTAAGTTGATCAGAGTTTCCCTCGTGCAATTTATTTCATCTTTTCTCTACTCCAATTATACCATTTTTTTCCCAGTTTCCTATTGTGGTAAAAATATATACCACAAAATAGACCATCTTAACATTTTTAAATGTAGTGTTCAGTGATACTAACTACATTCATAATGTTATAACAGTCACCCCCGTCTACCTCCAGAATTCCTCTTTATCTTATAAAGCTGAAATTCTATATGATTAAATGATAACTCCCCATTTCCTCCTCCCCACTGCCCCTGACCATCACCATTCTACTTTCTATCTCTATGAATTTGATACCCTAGGTAACTCAATTAGGTACTTCATTTAAGTGAAATCATACAGTATGTGTTTTTTGTTGCTGCCTACTTTGACATGGTATAATGTTGTCAAGGTTCATCCATATTGTAACAAATGCCAGAACTTTCTTCCTTTGTAAGGCTGAATATAATTCCATTATGTGTATATACCACATTCCACTTATCTATTTATCAGTAATTGGATAGTACCACATTTTAGATATTATGAACAATGCTGCTATGAATTTAGGAATATAAATATATCTTTGAGACCCTACTTTCAATTACTTTAGGCTGTACCTATAGGTGGAATTTCTGGAGCATATGGTAACTCTACTTCTAATTGTATGAGGCACTACCATACTGTTTTCCAAGCTGCCTGTACTATTTGAAATTCTCACCAACAGATCACTGGGTTCCAATTATTCTACGTCCCTGAAAACACTTGTTATTTTCTGGGCTTTTTGTTTGTTTGTTTTTGGGTCATTCAAATAGGTATGAGGCAGTATCTCACTATAGTTTTAGGCACCACCCTCTTTCATCCTATTGTTGAAGGTAAGTCACAGTCAGTTTTCTTCATCAACCAAGTATAGACATTACATGAGCCACATAGCTCGAAAATCCAGTTAGCTTCCTCCACTTCATTTCCATTCACCCACCATTTTTATTGAAATTATATTCTCTGTTAGAAAAAGATACAGTTCATTTTGTCTTCACTTTTATTGAAACATAAAATGTTAAATATGCAAGCCGTACTAATAAAGGTGCTCCTTGAAGTTGATGAAGGAGGGCTAGGTGACTTGTGGCTTCCTGCAGGGGAGAGAAAGAACAGAAGGTCAAGACGGTTACCCTTTGCTGCCTTCCTCCCATCCCTCATCATGATTTTTTTTCCAACCTCTTCTATGTGCTCTAGCCACTTCTCTTGACTTCCATCTGTGACCTCTTAGCCTATTCACCAATATTTGATCTCTGTAAAACCTAATTTAAAGCATATTACTTATCTTTTCTAAAGCACTAGAAAGGCTTCCAGTCTCACCTAGATAATAATTTTTAAAGATTTACCCTGTGATAGCCAACAACCATGAGATCTGGCTTCTCACTGCTTTTCCTAATATGTCTCTGCCATTTTCCCCACTCACTTTCTCTTTCGGTCACACTCATTGCAGTTCTTTAAACATGTTTAGTGCATTTCTGCCCCCAGGGCATTTGCACTTGCTGTATTCTGTGCTAGGACACTTTTCCTGCATAAGAACCACATGGTTCACTCCCCAACTCTGTCCATTCTTTGTTCTGATTTCATTATTTCAAGGAAGGCCTTTCCGAGTAAAATATGTCTACTAGTATAGCATCCATCATTCTGTGTTTGCCTTTGTCTTTCTTTATTTTTCCTTTTATCTTTTTTGCCCTCTGGCCTGTGATATATTTGTTTATGTATTCAGTCTGTTTCAACTCACTAGACTATAAGCCTTCTGAGTTAAGAAATCTATTTACTTTGTTAAATAGATTTAACAAATCTATTTACTTTATTAATTGGCATATTCCAAGCATCTAGAAGAGAACCTGGTGCATGGTTAGTGTTAGCAAGTATTATTCAACAAACAATTCAATGTCCAAATGTAGCTCCATTGGATGGATTAGGCACTGGAAGCTGTCATGCTAAAATGATGCAATTTTTTAACTGGAGTGTCAGAAACCAAGAGTAAGAAAATATGTGGTGAATATTGGAAGTATTGAGATCAGCTTTATACATTTTACTATAAAATACAATTTTAAGTGTGTGTCCGAGAGGGAGATTGATAATAGGCTTATAATATAGTGTTAAATAAAGCTATTATGAGTGAAGAAAGTAATCATTTTGTCCCAACTTAATGTACCCAATCTATAACATTTTGATCAAAATAATAAAAAAAGTTACATGGGAGCTTGAAAGAACTTCTGTAGTGTGATTGAGGAATTGAAAGCAGACTCTGAGTGATTGGTGATCTGCATTGTGAGAACAGACTGAGAACCAGAGACTGAATCAACACAAATTCTACCATATAGGATGTATTTTTGTACTATCTGGTAATGGTAAATGAATGTCAGTAATGTGGTATTTGCTGTGATATTCACACTCAGATGATTAAAGTGCTGCTTTCTCCAAAGTTGGCTCCTTTATTTACTCTGTTTTGTTCAGGGTTCAATGCAGTGTTTGGTTACTTAGTGTGTGTGTGTGTTTGTGTGTGTGTGTGTGTAAGAAAGGAAGAGAAAAAGAGTATGAGAGATAAATGAATATAAATAGTAATGGAAGCATTAGAATGTTTCTATTTTAATAATTGGTACCCTTGGTTTTTCATTATCACATTCTGCCATGATTTTCCTTACCTCCTTGATTGATTAATTGCCTGATTATTTGTAGAGTTGGGGGAATCCAAATGCATATATGTTGGAAAAAAATAGCAGATAATAACTAGACTATGTCAACAAAAACACCAGTTTGACCATTCAAGTATTCAGCCATCATGGTCACTGGACCTCACCACCAATATCATGCTCTCATTTATTTCACACACCACCACCAACTCTCAATACTTAACAGTTTTCAATTGCCAGGAAAGAGATAGAAATATCTTGTCATGGATAATCGTTCTATGGTGGGCATTTGGGCTTTATCCCTTGGAGTTTCAAATGATTGCTGCACCTGATAAAAGAAAATAGGCTGTAAATGAGATACAACTCTTTTGAAGTCTTAGAAAGCATCTTGCACCATGAACCAGAAAATGCGTGGAATGAAGAGAGCTTTCAGATTTCATAGAACCAAGCCCATTGGCATTCTAATTCCTGAACATTGTATCCTACCTCTTAGAATTGACATTCCATCTCAGATTGTACTCTTAACAACAAAATAAACACCCCATGTCTAATCTAAGGCCTTTCAACCTTCATTTCATCTATATTCCATTTCTGACCTACAGATATAACAATCAGGTTATCCCTTGGAAATTCTTCATGAAAATTAGATAAAGAAGGATTCTGTACTCCCAACTCCCACGAAGTTTGATTCTTCAGTTGAAGGAAAAGTAAATCCCAGTATCTTAAAGACTTGAACAATGAACAACTTTCATATCTCTACCACCAAGCTGAACTTGTAGTCTTTTGCATGGACTAATTGATAAGAGTCTACTTATCCTAAATCCAGAATTTTTAGTTCCTTTTTCTATGAATACCCTTGAAGGTACAATCTCTAACTCCTAATTATCTGAAAAGATTTAAACAAGAGGGAACATTTATCTATTTATTTATGTATCTATTGATTCAATAATTATTAATTGTGTATCTGCTACATGCCAGGTTTGTTGAGTTGCTGAGTAAATCCCTGCCATCTTGAAGTTTGCATGTTAGTGAGTAAAATCAAATAAAAAAACAGACACCTAAATAAACTATTACTATATGCTTAGTGGGTGGATATATGAGCTATGGAGAAAAATAACATAGAAAGTAGTGGGAATAAGGAATGTCCCAAGTAGTGCAAAGAGTAGCAGACTTTTTGTTCTGCACATTTTTATTGAAAGAGTGACTTCTTTTTTGTTGCTTCTTGCATGCCTTTATGGATCCTATAATAATCTGTAAGCACGTATTTGTTTGTTAACCTGCATTTTTAGTATTCATATCTCCCATGAAAATGTGAGGTAGGCTTAAGTCATGTAGGCCTCATTTACCCCTCTGTCACCAGGAAGAACTCCATGATTTAGCAGAGCACCCAGATTTTATTAATTTAATAAATTAAGTAATAAAAATTTTTCAAAATATTTGTCATTCTCTAAAACTTAAGAACTTATAGTCCATAACATAAGGCTTATGGTTGATATTGTTTTGTTTTACTTTGATCTCTTTCTGGGATGTATTGGAAATGTCTTTTCTATAACCATATTTTAAAAAGCTGAATGACAGAAACTAGGTATCGCTCTTTCACTTGCCTGACAAAGATTGTCATTGTGAAGTGAAAGGTGAATCATGACAAATTCTTCCTGAACAAATAAATGAATAACTAGAAAAGAGATGCTTACCTTTCGAAATACTTCCTCTAGGTGGCAGCACCAAGAATATTTCTGGAAGCATGCAATGAGTTGTGTGATGAAGATGGAGCCCATTGTGCTGTCTCTCCAGGACACATTATCTATGATGATACAGGTTGGTATACCTTGGGCTATGTTTTTGTTTATATTTTTGTCTTAAGAATGTTTTTAAAAAGAAAAGCATAGCTTGGGAGTTATCTTGGCAGATTTGTAGGAAGCACTTACAACCTGACATTTATATACTTTCTACAAAAAGTAAACAGAAAACCTGGCAAAGGGTGATCAAATGGTACAGTTTGTAAGCATTACAAGAGATTGTGTAGTGATTGTATTTTGACTCTTGGGATTCTTGATTTTGTAGAATCATTCAAAGGTGGCCTCTTGGGACTGACTTTCTGCTACAAACCCCATGTTCATTCTCTTGACTTTTATAGGGGCTTGAGAAATAGCTGGAATTATCCCACTTTACAGAGGGAGGAATAGAAGGTTAGAGAGACGAAGGAACTTCCCCATGTTCACACAGTGAGTAAGCCACAAAAAACTGCCACCAGGCTCCAAAGTTGTTTGCAGATTATGCCACACTGTCTTTCACCATATAGTAAAATAAACACATGCAATGTTTCAGTTATAGATATAAGATGAAAAAAAGTGATAAAAATCTATTCTACAGGACGGTGTCAATAGTAACCAGTACTGTATTATGTACTTGAAATTTGCTTAAAAAGTAGATTTTATGCTAAATATTCTTTTCACACACACTCACAGAATGATGATAATAATAAACAGAGAAGTAGAATAATTTTTTGGAGGAGAGAGATATGTTTATGGCATAGTTGTGATGATTTCAGGAGTGAATACTTATCTCCAAATTAATTAAGTGGCATACATTAAATATGTACCATTATGTATGTCAGTCATACCTCAATAAAGTGCTTTTAAAAAATAACATCTAGAAATAGACAAATTAAAAACAGTTAAGTGTATGCTACTTAAGATAATTACCTAGAAGTGAAATACTAACCAGTGTTCCCTGAGATTAGGCGGAATCATCCCCACCCTATAATTTTCTACTTGTTTTAAAAGATATCCATATTCCTAATGGGGCATGCAATGGCACTGCTCTTTGTAGAATAAGGTGGGAAATACGGAGAAGAAGACTTGAAGTTGATCATTTGAGAAAGGGAAGCCATTCCTGGAATCCATAAAACACTATTCAAAATGTTAAATGGGGGTTTAATAAAAAACAGAATTAATCATGTTTAAATGATGAGTGGTGAATGGGGTTCCTTGTATTGTGTTGTTTTGATATTTGATATACCTCTGACTGTAAAGTGTAATACTTATAGTAAAAGTATAATTTTCAAAACTGTGTGTTTTGGAGGGGTAGGCATCTATTCTCACAGCACACATAAGATCATGTAAAGTATGTGGAGAGCACACAACATTCTATCAGATTATTGTTTCATAGGGATTCTTGATTTTGTAGAATCATTCAACGGTGGCCTCAAGCCCACAAATCTCTTACTGCCACTGAAAAATACATACGTGGGGTTGAAGAGCAGAAAGCAATGAAGTCCTTCTCCACGTGGGTCTTGTGAATAGCATCTTCCTCTAGGTTATCAAGTGACTTTGAAGAAGCCACTGCCAAGGATGCTGGAGCATCTGGAACCAGCAGATCCCCGCGGTTTGCTGTAGAGACATTAACTTTCTGCACACTGCTGTGCCTTCCACAATATGGCTATCACAATTGCTCACCTTGTTCTTTCTGCATGTTCATTCTAACTAGTTCCATACATACAGACCCACACACATACAAACCCACACACACACCACCTTACTTTCTCTCCAGTGTCATTCAACATTGTGCCTACTGATAGTGAAATCATCTTTACTTTACCATTTTTTAGAGAAAAAATTTCTGTTTTCTTTTGAAAAATAGCTTCCAAGGGCTATAAGTCAATTGGTCTCAAATTATTGGCATCAATCAACCTCCTGTCTTGGTCTCTCAAAGTGCTGGGATTATAGGCATGAGCCACCATCCTCAGCCAGCCATGAGGCAATTGAAAGTCTGGAACAAAGTTGAACTGCAATATTCTAAAGTCCCCTGATCTCTTTAATAATTTTCCCCTTAAAAATTATGTTGAAAAGGTATGCTGCTTTATATAATGGCCCAGTTTCAAATGTAATTCTTCTTAAACCCCACCAATGTCAAAATGTTTGGGAAATATTTATAAATCAAGCTGTCGTGAAAATGATTCCATTCCAAAGTTTGCGTATTTCTGTTTAACTTTGATTTAGGGATTCTGATGATATCCTTCACCACTTACTGTGGATAAAATTGTGCAGAAGTTTTCCTGCTAATTATGATGAGACGATTTCTTATTATACCAGCCCTTTAGGAAGAGTTTCTTCAGAATTCAATGTACTTTATTTGCACTTGATGGGGTCTAAGACTGCTGGCCCTAAATATAAACCAAACATCACACACAATCCTCTGCATACACCTTCATAACTGTTAGATGTTCATTCTCAGCACTCACCACCCCTGCAGGCCTGGACAATGATGACCTTGGGTTTGTCCCTTAGACTGACACAGTTGCGGTTGTTGAATATCTGGAAGATGGTGTCATAAAGCAGCACATCTGGGTTTTCCTCATCATGCGCCATTCCACAGATTCCCTCCAGGATGCCATGAGACATGAGCACCAAGAACGTGCTGTCTGAGGACTTGTGTTCTGGTCGGGCAGCAAATGCCCTCAGCACTGACTCCATATCCTGGAAAAGAACAATGTCTAGCTTCAGTCGGAGAAGAATGAATGGGACTCCCTAGATTTACCATGAGTGAAACAAGAAACATATTTTACATATCCTGGTCATGTTGCTTCACATAGTGCTTACTCAATTATGACAGCTGTTTTATGGTTTTATTTTTCCTTCTCAATGGGGCTATGGGTTCCTGCTTTCTCTCCCTGCTGACATACTGTCTTCTTAATATATTGTATATTTTTATATGTTACTCATTTTACTTTTTCTTTTTCTTTTCCATCTCAATCTTTTCTCTACTTACCTACCAAGAGTCATGTGTTATAAATGCATCACACCACTTTCTTTGTAAAACTCATCCCACTTTGCTTAGAATAGAATCAAACTTATGGCCTGACCATATTCCACTCTCGTACTATGTCCCTTTTCCTTCAAACTCTGGTCACACTAGTTTTCTCTTGTGCTTTTCCTGTGCCAGGTTGATTTTTCAGTTCAGCCTTTTCACAGGTAGCTTCTCCTACTTTGAAAGCACTGCATTCATGTCTCTCTGGAGTAGTCTCTGACCAACCCAAAAACATTGCTCCCACCCTATAATTCTGTCTCACATTTCCTTTTTCTTTTCTTTTTGCTTACTTTTGGCTCTCTTGTCACTGTTGTATAGACACACACATGCACACCTGGTGCCTGAAGTTGTCTTTTTTCTTACAATTTCACTGTTTCTTTCTTTTGTAACCTAGATGAATGCCAGCAGGGAACTTCCTATCTCATTTACAGACCTATTCCCAATGTTAGGAGTAGCTCTTGGCACCAAGTGTAGGACTCAATATTTGCTTTACAAGTGTACTCCTATTTAAAATTTATTACTCTATAATTTTAGGGGGGGTATTCCCATCATGTGATTTTGGAATTCAATAAGAAACATGAAAACATGTGCCAATCATGTTTAGTCTGGTTTCCAGAGTCGAGGATATTTGGAGCACAAAAGAGACATAGATTTACCAATCTAGTACTCTCATTTTGCCTGTGCACACACACAGACACACAAACACACACACACACACACACACACACACACACACACCCAGAGGCAGTTAAATCTTGTTGAGCTCCTTAAAGCTAAGTAGTTATTAGAAGTATGTGTGTTGAATATGTATGAGTTTGGGGTGGCTGAGGGGTTCTTACCCTGGCTGTCAGTTTCTCTTCTACAACCACACGGTAGTCCAGACCCTCAAGCAGCTCCTTCATCCCTGTGATGTCAAAGTCAGCTCCATTCCTCGGAGGCAGATGGTCAAACTCTGTGTTGCATATGATGAGAGCCAGGCGTGTGCGGCCCTTTCTCTCCTTTATTGGATAGATCTGCAGGAGATGGAGATGCAGTGAATTTAATTTACTCAAGTCTCTTTCAACCCCCTTGTACCTATCAATGTTGCTTTTTTTAAGTCTTCATGCAACTGCTCTCTTCCCTAACTTGCATCAAAAGACACTGACTTTCTCTCTCTCAAGAACCTGGGGAAAGAACCAGGACATATCTGAAATGGTTATTGAAGAATCTTGAGGAAACTAGATAATTCTTACCCCCTTCTTCTCCCTTTTCATCTTTACCTACTCAAATTTTTCTTAGCATGCAAAGTTCAGGTCAAATTTCATAAAACACAAGAAATGTTGTCATTGGCTCCAGTGAAAAATGAATACAGCAAAAGTCTTTGCCTTTGGAAACATAGCTATTTTGGTACTATTTTTAACATCAACTTATAATGTTTTTCAAGCTTTAATTATATTTCCCAAGTATCCTTTATGTCTAGACTTTTCAACTAAAGTGCGAACAATTACTACTCAGCTATGTTATCTTAGAAATAGTTTTACTCCATGGCTAATGCTGCAATTGTCATAAAATCCAGATAATTGCAAGAATGAATACAGGAGCAATAGAAATACCAATTTTCTTCTAACCCATGATAAAATGATCTGCATCATGGGTTGAGAGAGGATTGGTATCATTGTGAAGTCACATAATATTTTCCTTACTCAAAGCATTTATGAAAATGTTTACTGCCATCAAACCCCTCCCACTGCCATCATTCATTTAGTGCTGTAAGAAATGGTGCACTAAAGAAAACCAGTGATTTCTCATCTTTTTTTCTGCATTATGCAGATAGCACAGTACCTCTTTAGCTCTTTCTTTACATAGTCTCAGGAATTCTTCAGGAGGGCAAAGCTTGAGGGCATCTGTAGATTCTCCTGTCTCCGGTGGTCCAACCTCCATATTCGGCTTATCTGCAAGATATCACATAATAAAAACTGTGATTTCTGCCTCTGTGACCCAATTTATCACCTAAGAAAATTGAGAGAGAAGATGTCCTGGGAAGAAGATTTCTCCATATGTAGGGGTTATAGTTGTATCTCATATCTAGTATTCTATATCAGGAGATGTATTGTTACTGGAAAAGAGAGAAAAGCAAATCCACCCAAACATGCAATCATAGATTCTGATCATTTTGGGGAAAACATTTTGATGGTGTTTGGGTTAAATTTAGCCTTTCCTTATATAGTCAAAAGAATTTGATTTCTCCAAAGGTTTTATTCTGGGATACTCACTCATCCATGTGGACTTTCTATTGTGTCTTTACGAGAGTATGCTGAGTAAATAGTTATCCATTACAAATTTAATGTGTGTTCCATGACCAATATTCAATTTCTACGATCACATGTAAAAAGTAAAATTAAACAAGTAAAATTAATTATAATAACATTTATTTAGCGTCACATATAAAAAGTATTATTTTAACATGTGTTTTCAGCCACAAGCCAAGTGCTTAATAGCTACATATTGCTACCATACATGATGGGACAACATCTCATTTTGGAGTAATCATCCCCTCCTGACCCCCACTTCGCATACAGATACATACATACTAAACCACAGAATATTGAGTCTTGTACTTTCAAGGCATTATTTTTTAAGCAACTTTACTCTTTATTTTTAATGATTCTAGGAGAAATGAACTTCAGTTATCCCTGTTTAAATGGTAAAGCCAGCTATTTAATGGAGAAGTGCTGTCTAGTAACAATGATGCTGTGTCCAAGGTCAGAGACAATTATTCTGTCAGACATTCTGACATAACTCTGATGCCTTGCCTCCAAAGTGCTGAACAATGAACACTAAACTTTTCAACCTGTGTTTTATAATGGGAGGAAATAATATATCTCTTGTGGATAAGTTTGTTTCGGACTCATTCTGATCAATCTCCTAGAGAAATCTAACATTATCTGACAATGCTTGATCCCTTCTGAATGAGATTGTGCACAAGACTGGGAAATTTCAGAACCCTCCCTTGAAGGAGAAAGAGAGGAATTTTAAAAGACATCTTAGAAATGAAGTTTACCAAGGTCTGATATAATGAAGTGTCTCTTCATGAAAAAAAGGAGCAGTTATATTATTTCTGTTAATTTAATTATGTGAGCCAAAAAAGACATTCTCTGATGAAATAAGAAAAAATACTACTATCCTATGTAAAACTTTTTGTTTGTAATATTTTATAATTTTATTTCTACTTCAATTATTTGTTTTTAAATAATATTTTAAAATAAATGTCTAGCTAAAATGTATGATAAAAGCCTGAATTCTGGATCTACAACAAGTCTTAAAAGTGTGCATGAATATCAAACTTTCTGGGCATCTCTTTTCATAGATGACACAGTGATATCCCATTTCAGAAATAGCTTCCATCCCATTTCAGAAAATTCTACCAAGGTGAAGACATGCTGGAACCTTGGATATTCCCTGGTCAGAGGGCATGTTTTTATCATCCAAGTCTTCTGTTTCCAGTTCACTTACAGGCTTGGAGAGCTTCCTTAGTCATCTCCTAATGATCATTATGTGTCTATGTGTGGATACAGTATTTTCAGATAAAATTAGAAATTAGGTGGAATTTTTATCATATCCAATAGTAAAATTAGCATCAAAGCAAATCATTTCATTACAAGATAGTACATATTATAGTGCAGGTTGCTGCCCAAAGAGGGCTGGGTACACCCTAGGTATACTGGTAGTATATCTAAAGTTTCCTGAGATCACTCTGGAGACTCCAAGTGCAGACAGAGCCCAGGGAGCTCCTGGGCTCCTCCTGTAAGGGGTTTCAGCTGCCTCATTCCTGCCACAGCCTCTGCGAATCAGTTAGGTTATTTCAGTTTAGAATTGAATGCTCATTGTGATACCTGGGGTTGCTAAAATCATTGTGAAGCCCCTATTACTTCAATTCCAATTCCCATTGGTTGCATTATCACTAACTTTTTAAAAATGGAGATTGCTTCCATGCCGCCCCAGGTTTAAGAAAAAGAACAAAACACCTTCAAAAGGACCAGTTTAAATATTAATAAGAACGCAACCTGTCTTATAATCTTGGACAACTATTATACTATCATGTCCTCTCTTTTGATGGGAATACCACTTCTTCAAAGAAAAGTGCTGATTGAAAAGCTCATTTGATTTAGTTAGGCCTCAACAATTTATGTTGTCTTTTGTTTATTACTATTTATCATTATTGGTAATCTGTAATACTTCATGGCTGAAGATTTCAGCTTAATTCTGGGGAAAATTGAGTCTGTCACTAGTGAACTTCACTATGAGAATATTTAAGCTCTAATAATACACATAATTCAATCTGAGTCAAAAGTTCCTAAAAGAAGTTTTAAAATTTTAGACATTTTATATAGATTCTCCTGATCATATTTTGTAACTCACAGAAATGAGTAAGAACTGGAAAAGTCTAATTCATAGCATCCATATAAGAATTATGAAAGTTACTATTTATTGCATGCATATACTTTATTTATTTATTCATCCTACATTATCTAGGCATCCACTATGTCCCAAGAAAACTACTGATTACTGTTATTAATTGGTGAAGAAACCAGTTGCATTCTGGTTGGAGAATCTTGGTAGACATTCTTTCTGCTTACTGAGATGAAAAAGGAATAAAAACTGAACAGTTTTGTTCTGGAGAACAAAGTATATAGTTTTAGCTGTATTTGTTTTGTGATGCCAGTGAAACACTGAAGTAGACATGCTGAATATTCTGCTACAGCTAAATGAGTCTGCACCTCAGAGGAGAGAGTTCCAGGTAAGAGCTAATATCCTGGAGTTGTTGGCATGTGGTGCCTGCTGTTATAATGTTTCTAGGCTTAGACAATCTTATGAGAAAGTACTGGAATTGTCCCCATTTCACAGGTGGTAAGACTGATAATCAGGAAGCTAGGGAGGTTAAGCAACTTGCAGGAAGTTGCATAGGTCACAGGTGACAGAATATAGGTTTAGATTTATGTATCCCTTACTACAAGGTCTCATTTTTAACTATTTTTGTGACAGTCTACACACAAGGACTCAGCTTTTTAGCTGATTAGAAACTTGATTCCACCTCACAAAAGATGAAGTGGTCCTAAAAGGACAATGATAGGTTTAGTAAAAATGATAATTTAGGAAAGGAAAGATAAGGGAATCACAGAAGACACTGCTTAGACCTTGGAATTAAGCAGATTCTGGAAAAATTGAGGCATTCATTGTAAAAGACCCAATCTTACCTTTGTCATTGGGGGATAATTGGTCTATGTTTATAAAGGTTTTGAGAAGCATTTGCCCTGCCATACGTTGTTTCTTTTGAATAGAGTCTGCCACGACCTGAACCTTGTCTTCAGTTTTGGCATCATAATATTTCTTCTTTTCCTCTTCCTTCCAGTTCAGCACATTTTGTTCCACCAAGTTATCCAAAACACCAGTGAGCAAATCTTTGCCCAAAGATTCCAGCATCTTAAGTGGTTTTTTTCTTCGGTTGCCTTCTGTTAGAAATTTAAAAAAAAAAACTCCTTTAACTATGGGTACAGCTTAAAGAGTTTTACCCTCACTTTATACATAGTTTTATAATGTGAAATACTCCTGAAATTATGTTCCATTTTACCATCTGTCTTCTTGTATCTGTAGAGTTCGGTCACCCATCAAGTTCCTACCACTTAATACTTTTTTCTTTTGTGTTCTTTTTTCTTTTCTTTTCTCTCTCTCTACCTTCTTTAAAAAAACGTTTTTAGCTTCTCATCTTCTTTCTGTGGCATTGGATCTAATGCTAACTTCCTGGTCATCCACTGTATTCGTGTTTCTCTTTCACTGATTCACAGCCTATAGTGATAACGATCTGCCTAAAACATATATTCCCAGGAAAGTCAATGCTCTTGTCTTAAATTCTTCCTACTAGACTATATGATTTTTATTTTTTTCTGTATTTAGTTTTCTTGGTGAAAGAACTATATTTTTGAATTTGAATATTTTAAACTTACATACACCCTATCCCACATCTTTGTATTCAAAATTCTTAAAAGTACTTAATATTCTTGTTAAATACATAAATTAAAGAATAAGCAGATGAGTGTACCTTATTTATAATTCTTTTGAATCTTGAACTCAATGAAAATTCTAAATTGAAAGTAATCTGATTACTAATCTTCCAGTGTGGTGCATACATTTAATTTGACACCACGTTAATGTATTACTTTGCATAATTTGAATATTTATAAGGAAATATAGATATCAAAATAAGGCATCCTTTATTTCAATGCAACAGATATGATTTGGGCAGATTTTGCACAGAGATGTTGAGTATCTTATCAATTCTCAATCAATGCTATGAAGACAGTTATACAATCCTTGTAGATGTAAGGATACTGTTGACACAAAATGGCGTCTAAAGAAAATATGTCAGAACATTATACAAGAGCTTTTGCACGGAAGCACCAGCCTCATTATCTGGGTTATCTTGAATTAATGTTTTAATAAATGTTTATTATTAGGCAGCTATTATGAGAAAGACATTAGACATTACAAACCAGGAAAAAAGATACCTAACATAAATTAACTTAATAAAAGATAACATCTCCCATGTACTCATTATAAATTAAAATATCAATGCATATAAAGCAATATAAACCATTATAATTATCATTATTATTTACAAATCACTGTGCCAAGGTTTTTACAAATCTTAATACACTGGACCCTCACAATAAGCCAGTGGTATAGTTATTACATTCCCTATTTTATATTTACCATTTAAATAATAACTTGCTTCATATCACATGAATTAAGATTCAAATCTTGTTTTTTTCACTATATTCTATATAGTTAACATGACATGGTTTCAATTGAAATAGTATTCATAGAGCCCCAGTCATGCCAAGTGCATTACTGAAATTTCATAAAAATTCCATCTAAAGCATATATTAACCTCTCTTAATTGGAAAATAAAAGGTAACATGTAATTGACTCAAATAATGTGAAAGAACACAGAGTATACAGTAACTGTGAACAATAATTGAAATCTAAAGGTTCAGAATCCAGAGCCCCCATTCTTAATTCATCAAACTACTTAATTCATCAAAATTGGAAAGGAAGAAGTTTAATTGTGCCTGTCTAAAGATTAAATGGTCTTATATATAGAAAACCCTAAAGGATCCACCAAACATCTTTTAGAACAAATAAACAAATTCAAAAAAATTGCAGGATAAAAAAATCAACATATAAAAATCTGTAGTGTTTCTGTATAACAATAAATCATCTTTAAAAAATGAATAAATTTCCATTTAAAATTGCCACAAAAATACTTAGAAATGAATTTAACTAAGTAGGCAAAAAACATATACATGTAAATTATGAAACTGCAACCTGATCAACATAGTGAGACTCTGTCCCTAAAAAAATTTACAGAATTGGCTGGGCATGGTAGCATGTATCTATAGTCCTTGCTTCTTGGAAGTCTGAGGTGGGAGGATTCCTTAAGCCCAGGAATTTGAGATTATAGTGAGTATAATTGTGATACTAGTCTTGGCTACAGAACAAGATCCTGTCTCAAAAATAACAGTAACAACAAATTCCAAAACTTTAAAATATTGATAGAAGAAATTAAAGAAGACAAAAATAAGTAGAAATACATTTTCAGTTGATGGACTGGAAAAATTGCTAATATTAAAATGTCCATCCCTAATACCCAAAGAAATCTAAAGATACGATCCAATTCATATCAAAATTCTGATGGCAGCTTTTACAAAAATAGAAACAAGTCCTAAAACTTATATGGAATCACAAGAATAAAAACCTGCATAGACAAAGCAATTTTGAGTAAAGAGGTCAAAGCTGCAGGCATCACACTACTTGACTTCAAATAGACTACAAAGCTATGATGATCAAAATAGACACAGAGAGCAATTGAACAGGACAGAAAACCCAGAAAAAAAAACCAATTATTTACATTCATTGATTTTCAATAAAGGTTTATGAACACAATGGGGAAAGAACAAACTCTTCAATAAATGTTATTGGGAAAATTGGATAGCCACATGCAAAAGAATAAAATTTCTCAACATATACAAAAATAAACTCAAAATGGGTTAAATATGTAAATGTTACAACCAAAACTGTGAAACTACTAGAAGAAAACAGAGGGGAACAACTTCATGACATTGGTCTAGACAGTGATTTTTGGATATAACACAAAAGGACAGGAAACAAAAGCTAAAATACTCAAATGAAATTACATTAAACTGAAAAGCTTTTACACAGCCAATAAAATAACCAAAGGATTAAAGAGATAATCAACAGTATGGGAGAAAATATTTGCAAACCATACATCTGATAAGGAATTAACATGCAAAATATAAAGGATACAAACAATTCAACAGAAAGAAAACAAACATTTAAAAATAGACAAATGACCAGAATAAACATTTTTCAAAAGCAGACATACGAAAAATATGTATATGAAAAATGGTCAACCTCTCTAGTCATCAGGGAAATTGAACCCACAATGAGATATCATTTCTCATTTGTTGGAATGGTGATTACCAAAAAAACAAAATATAGCAAATGGTGGAAAGGATGTAGAAAAAAAGAAACTCTTGTACACTCTTGGTAAAAATGTAAATTAGGCCCTGAGCAGTGGCTCATGCCTGTATTCCCAGGACTTTGTGAGGCCAAGTTGGATGGAACACCTGAGGTCAGGGGTTCTTGACCAGGCTGGACTACATGGTGAAATCCCACCTCTAGTAAAAATATAAAAATTAGCCAGGCATAGTGGCAGGGACCTATAATCTTAGCTACTCGGGAAGCGGAGGCAGGAGAATCGCTTGAACCCTGGAGGCAGAAGTTGCAGCGAGGGGAGATTCCACAACTGCCCTCTAGCCTGGGCAACAGAGTGAGACAGAGTCTCAATAATAAAATAATAAAATAAAATAAATAATAATAAAATAATAAAATAATAAATAGTAATAATAATAGTCAAAATAATAAAATAAACTAAAACATATATGCATACATATGTATATAAATTAGCATGGTCTTTATGGAAATCTATATGGAGACACATCTGAAAATTAGAGCTAAAGGTATCATCAAGCAATCCCACTATTAAATGCATATCAAAAAAAGTGAACTCAGTATCTCAAAGAGATATATGAACTTCTATTTTCTTTGCAGAATTTTTCACAATAGCCAAGATATAAAATCAACCTAAGTATATGTAAATGGTTGAATAGATGAAGAAAATGTGGTTTACATACACAATGCAACACTATTCAGCTTTTAAAAGGAAGTAAATTCCATCATTTCTGACAACACTGATGAAGATAAAGAACATTGTATTAAGTGAAATAAGCCAGACCAGGTACCAAAGCACAAAATATTATATTATCTCAGTGATATATAGAATCTAAAAAAGTTAAACTCACAAAAGCAGAAGGTTGTGCAAAGAAAATATATATGATTTTTATTTGTCAAATAAATTAATTAAACAGTTAGAAATGTGGCTTTAGGTGTAATCTACACATTCTGATGGCATCAACTTTAAGCTTAAAATAATAAATAAACTGCTCTCAAATTTATGGATTCAGCCCAGATATGGATGTCAGTATTGAAACCCATACATCCAATAGACAATGAGACATCTCTACTATATCTTACAAACACATTCAACTCAAATTATAATGATGAACTGCCGATTTTTTAATTTCCATCCTTTGTTCTCTTTTCCATATACTAGTAAATAATACCTACACCCCAAGTACAAAAAGGCAGCAAAACTTGGTGATATTAAACCTCTTTGGCCTTCCCTATATCTTATTTCCCTTCTTAATTCACATTGCATTGATATTATTAGCTAAACATTTTCAGAATCTGACCACTTCTCTCAATTCTAATTGTTTATTACTTCTATTCAGGCAACATCCTTTGTTTCTTAAGAAATAAATTCATTTGAGTATGGGCTTGTAAATTTTTCTATTATAAAGACTCATGCACATGTCTGTTTATTGCGGCACTGTTCAAAATAGCAAAGATTTGGAACCAACCCAAATGCCCATCAAAGATAAACTGGATAAAGAAAATGCGGTACATATATACCAGGCATCCCCAAACTTTTTACACAGGGGACGAGTTCACTGTCCCTCAGACCGTTGGAGGGCCGCCACATGCTGTGCTCCTCTCACTGACTACCAATGAAAGAGGTGCTCCTTCCTGAAGTGTGGCGGGGGGACCTGATAAATGGCCTCAGGGGGCTGCACATGGCCCGCGGGCCGTAGTTTGGGGATGCCTTATATATACCATGGAATACTATGAAGCCATAAAAAAGGATGAGTTCATGTCCTTTGCGGGGACATGGATGAAGCTGGAAACCATCATTCTCAGTAAACTGACACAAGAAAAACACAAACACTGCATGTTCTCCTTCATAAGTGGGTGTTGAACAATGAGAACACATGGTCACAAGGAGGGGAACATCACACAAGGGGGCCTCTCTGGA